AACAATTTTATACCAGGTAAGGCAGCAAATGTTTGGATAATCTACTCAAAGATGAAGAGACTTAAAGCAACAGAAATGTGGTTCTACAGAAAGATGGCAAGGATACCACAGACCAGATATATGAGCAACGACAAGGATTTGGAGAAAATGGAAATGAAAAGGAAACTTATACATAACATCAGGAAAATTCATTTGAAATTTCTGGGGCATGTAATGAGGAAGGAGGGCTTAGAAAATCTGATATTCACCGGACAGATTGAAGGAAAGAGGGACAAAGCAGTGTGTAACATACTTGATGAGCTTTAGTAAATAGATGGTAGAACAGGGTTTGGGAGAAATAACAAAAAAAAAAGCAAAACTTATTAACAGCTACAAGGGACAGGAAGATGTGGACGGCTATGATTGCCTATGTCATGAAGGGACATGGTACACAAAAGAAGATTTCAAAAGTAGGTTAGGAGTGCATTACATATAATTATTTGTACTAATATTGACAATTTTTTTGTTAGACTCCACATAGCGAGAGATGTTCAAAGAACATGAAAATACTAAAATCAATGAATAGAAATTAAAAATGTAGATTATTTTTGCATGCATTTTATAGTTTCAGATTTCTTAAGATTTAAAAAAAAAAAAAAAATTCTTTCATTTACCCTTGTGTGGTTGAAGAGAAAAATAAAAACAAAATTTACTGCTCAGCACAGGGATTGAACTCATAACATTCAGTCAATTGGCTAGAGACTTTAACTTTTAATGAAGATGTCACTCCTGTTAACTGGGATAAGATCACCCAGTGGAACTCTATAAAAACGAAGGCTTTTTCACTCATCAGTTTTTGTCTGTTGCCTGGAGAACCTTTGTCACTTAGCCTAGGGCCCCTAAAGCTTTTATAAAGAAAAGATTTTAATTTTCTAAATAGTTTCATAAACTGAAATGATATCAATATCCCAAACTCATATTTATTTGAATTTACAGGAAGCAAAACAAAGAAAAGAATGTTTTAGTTTGTGTCATTGTGTTTCAAGTAGATGATGTATGATTTTAGCTCAGAATGTTTAAATCTTAGAAATTTTTATAAAACAGTGATTTTAATTTTCTAGATGTTATAACTCCTAAATGGTTTCATAAACTGAAATGATATCAATATCACAAACTTATATTTATTTTGATTTTTTACTGTTAATGTTGATTATAATTTCTTTTTACTACAGTCGTGTTGGAATATGTTAATTTGGTTTGCAATAGTAAAATAGTGGTATTTCTTGAATATTTTTTATAGACAAACAAAAGATAGCTATCCTAGTTTATTTTAAGAATTTGCAATAAGTTTACTTCAAGTTATTTAAGCATCTTTAAAATATAACACAAGTAAAAAAAATTATTCAAGACAGGTGCAAGTGAGTTAGAAGGTGTCTCTGTCTTATTCATTATTTCATTAGCCTAGAGACCCCAAAAGGTCATAATCTGGAACTGTAATAATTTGTAAGCCATTGATGGTCATTCCAGTTGCACAAACACACAGGTCATCAGGGCTGAATGTTTGATCATACCAGTTTTGTTCAAATTGTTAATCACACCAGATTATGCACTCTCTCTCACAAGCAGTATCTAAGATCTGCTTAACAGTTGCAAATATAAACCACAGGTCAGCTCTGTTGGTGTTGAAGACTAATATGTGCCTGAGCAGGTGTCCAAAGCAAACTGGCATATTTGGAAATGAGCAGCCAGTCATTTACTTAGAGTAAAAAATATGGTATTTATAATAATCATCCAGAATATCCTAGCAATTCAAAGGCAGCCTGAAAAGATAATCGTTATCTGGCAAATTAGTTACATTTTCAGCTGTTTTATCAAATTTTTAAGTTCAAGCAACAATCTCAATTTTCTTACAGTTTGATAAAAAATTTTCAAGTGATAAGCAGAGTTCACCGATTATCATAATTTTTTTTTTTTAGAGGCGATATACATTGGGATCAGGCAGCCTTCTCTCTGTAAGCAGAAAGATAAGAGTGCAATAACACACATTTTTATGCTGATTCCCTGGTTGGTATTAGTCAATCTCTCTCTCTCTCTCTATATATATATATATATATATAATAAAAAGGCTTAAACACTAATATTCCATGGTCATAATTTATTCCATTGGAATCGTAAATCTGATCCAAATCATCAGACCTACAAATTCAAAATGAAAACAGAAAAAAACAACTCGAAATCAAAACAGAATTTAGAGAAAGTGTAAGTAGGAGGAGGAGTGACATGAAACCTTAACAGAGAGAGTTTTTGGAGATGTGGGTGGGGTGGATTTAAAAAAAGAGAGAGAAAGAAAACGGATGTCTAATACATAAAGATACATTTCGTGGTGACATATACACACCACAGACAATTCGGATAGGAAGGAAAAAAAAAAAAAAAAAAAAAAGAAAGGGGGGGGAGAGATGGGACGAATATATATATATATAAAATTAAATATATATATATAAAATTAAATATATATATATATATATATATATATATATATATATATATAAATTAAAATATATATATATATATATAAAATTAAATATATATATATAAAATTAAATATATATATATATATATATATATAAAATTAAATATATATATATAAAATTTGTTGATTGTTTAATAACATCAACATAAGTCATTTCATGCTGAAATTTTCTTTTCTTAAGAGCTTTGAAGTAATAAAAATATATTTATTATATATTTTATTCTGCTTTTGCAATTGAATACATGGTAGATGATACTCAGCTTTTGTGCATATACATGTTTGTGTGGACATAATTACTAGATATGTGTGCTTTATGTTGTAGAACTTATATTTTGGAATACAATTTGATTCCTTGTAGGATATTATAAAGATTAATGTCATGAAAGAATTCTTTTTTGTTGGTTGTTTGGTTGATTTTGTTTAGCTGCATATCAAGCTCTATAGCATGTTTAATGCTGAAATCTAAACATTTTGAATATAATTTTATGTCTTCCACTAAATATATTTTCAACTACAGATAAAACGTATCATTAATCATTTTGCTCCAAAATGTATTATTGGTAATTCTACTATAAAATGTATTGTTGGTAATTTTACCATAAATATGTGTTGCTGGTAACTTCACCATAAACATGTATTGTTGGTAATTTTATTATAAATATATATTGCTAGTAATTTCCTTAAAGAAAGATGCATTGCTGCTATTTTTACCACAAAAATGTACTTTCATAGTATTTTGTTTTTGCCCCGAGGGTTCACTATTTGCCCATAGCTGGGATCCTGAGTAAGGGTGGACTTGGAAACAACAGTAATTAAAAGGTGGTTCCAGGCTCCTCCTCAAAACCTCCAATCTCCCGATCAGAGGCCTTACTGTCAGATGTATATAAATAAATAAATGAATGAATGAATAAAAGGCATTTTTCGGAAGCAATAATTCTTTCAAATATGTTTCGTTAAATAATATCAATAAGTTTTGCCTATCAATTTTTTTTATTAAATGTTTCAGATTTCTGAATTAGTTGTTTCAGGTTACCATTAATTTTGCCAAATTTCCTATTTAATTTTATTTGATATTATTTTTTGTATGAGTACTTTTGAATGTTGCTACATTTGTTTTCAAGGATTGTTCTGTGTATATTTATGCAACTGTTTTTGTTTAATTCCAGTGATCTTATATTTGATGGAACCAATTTAAAGTCACTCAAGTTGACATCATTTAAAGGGTCAAACTGAAATTTTTATGTATATTTTATTTTTAAAAACACACTTCTATATATGTTAAAAAACAAAACATTTTGATAATGTCTAATAGAATGGCTGAAAGCACTCGCAGATAAATAACATTTAGACAGTTTTTACACTATGTCCAGAAAAGAAAATACTTGTACGAATGTAAGAAAAATTTTATAAAAAGTTTGTAGTACTTTGTCAGTCATCTTTAATAAAACTTGTATAAAAGAAAGTTTGCTGCCCAAATACATAATAATTCTCTCCTGTTCATCTTCTAATGTAAGTTTTAAACATTCTACATTTATAGATGCTTGTCCTCGTGAAGAGTGATGACTGAAACTGGTTAGCCCTTTTCTTATACTTTTGGGTGCCCCCCCCACCTCTTTCACCTTTCACTTTTTATGGGGGATTTTATTTTATTATCTTTGATCTTTTTCCCCTCCCCTTTGTTGGTTGTTTATATATTTGTCTTTGTTGTGTGTTACACACATTTTAACAGTTTGATAAATATTCACAAATTTGTTGATATTTAAATCTAATAATTTGAAAATATGTATCCATGAGCCATAAGTATAGTCAATGTCAAATGTTTTGATTGTGTACAAAATAGCTACTGGAAAAAAAAAAAAAAAAAAAAAAAAAAAAAAAACGTTTCTTCAATCGATCCAAGGAAAGAACAATTTTCATTTTGTGGTCAATCTAATGTCAAACTGCATTAGTTCTATAAACTGATCTTTGTGTAGAGAAAAAGAAGAAAATTTAAAGAAAAGGCACCTTTTCCTCCCTCTCAATGATCAGTCTTATAAAAGGAAAAATTATTTCAGAAAAAACAGATCTCTTTCCTGAATGCATAGTAATAGTCACTTTTTCACATGTAAAATCCGAAGTATGGTTCAAGCCAGAAAACAGTTTGAACCTTGCTGGAGAGTACATTTTCTTTATTAAGTCTCTCAAATGCATAGGCTGGTAGACATAATTCACACTGTTTAGGAAAGAGATGGGTACCTGGTATTCCCAAGTAGTTACCCATCTAGGTACTGACCAGGTTCAGCATTGCTTAACTTTGGTGATTGTCCAGGAACCAGTGTCTCATCTTGATGTATGTGGCCATAAGCTTAAAGCTTACTAGATGAGACAGTGGTTTCTCCTACAAAGGGGTTTCAGGTTTGGACCCTGCTGGAGAGCCCATTTTCTTCATTAAGTCTCTCAAATGCACAGGCCGGTAGACATAATTCACGCCATTTAAAAAAAGAAATGGGCACCTGGTATTCCTAAGCTGTCACTCATCTAAGTACTGATCAGACTCAATATTGCTTAACTTCTGTGATCATATAAGAACTGGTGTTTTAATGTGATATGGCCGTAAGCCTGTATACTAATAATGATAGAAAAAAATAAAAAAAATAGTGAGAATTACTTGCGCAGAGGATAAACAATGCCTTCTGCTAGTGTCTTCTGAACTTCCTCATATTCATCAACATCTCCTTTTGTCTTTTCCCGGAAGAAAATGTTGTCCATCACAGTTGTGAAATAGAACATGCTGAAAAGGACAACATCCAGGTAACACGAATTGTGGTGACCCTGGATCCCTTTATTTTTCCCACAGAGTAAATCATAATCAAATTCCTGTGGCGGTTGGACCACTTCGGCTATATCAGGAGTTTTCAGATCTCCAAATTCTGAAGGGGAAAAAAAAAAAAAAAAAGAATTAAAAGCAAAATTAAAGCAGAAACAAACTTGTTTTTTGGTAGTATAATTTTTGTGGAGATTAAAGTTAGTCAAATATAAAAATATTAGGCAACTTGTTTTCACTTAGAGAGCATCCATCATTCAAGCGACCTTCATTTGAAGGCTCAACCAATCAGAATATGAAACTAACAAACTAAACAGAATACGACTCAAAAGGCTCAGACTTGAAGAATAAAGCAATTTCCAGTTCAATTCGCCTGTTTCTTTTTTTAATATAATTTTCAAATAAATTATTACAACAAAACAAAAAAAAGTCTACCAAGGGAGACAACCCTAAATTTATTTGCTACTTACAGAATTGCTTCCCTTAAGAAATTAATAGACATAAGAGAAAAATCTTTAGTGCTAATTAACATTTACCAATAAATATAAAACAATTTCCGGATAATTAATTTAAGTAAGTATAAATAAAATTCCCTTTTTTCATGAACAATTTTTTCAATGAACAGATTTACCAAATATATATATATAAGTTACATAAGCAATTTATAAAGTAATGAAATTTTTTATTTATTAATCTGATTTAACCAGTATATTCATTTTTTGTCTACCATCCTGAATATTTGAAAAATCTTAATAAAGATCCACCCACCATTGAATATTCATACCAGTAAACAAAAAATATAGTGATTAAAATAAAATGTATCTACCGAAATATAGGTAATCACTAAAAATAACATTTAAAATGTAGTTATATAAAAAAAACATGTAGCCTAATGATAAAAAATGCTTGCTTTTTTTCAATTTATGTTGATTGAAAAGGGGATGTGAATAGTAAACAAAAAATAAATCACTTGCAACTTGTTAGTTAATTAAATAACCACAAGATTTGTGAATATATTTGTATTTTAAATGTCTGATAAGGACACACACATGTTAATACATCAATTAATAATGAAGGAAAAAGCATTTGCTTTACAAAGTAAATATTTTTGAACAGTGTTTTTTTTTGTCAATGTGTGACAATATAAATACTTACACAAATTCAAATTATAAAACAACAAGCATTCATTGGATAATAAATCAACACTACTTTGTAAACGACAATTTACAAATCGCAGCTATGCGACAATTTTGTAATCGCTCTATTTTCATGAAGTCAATTTCGTGCACTTTTAGAAGAATCCAATCCTAGAGGCTTTCTTAAGTCTCCCCAAAACTCGCTCGCTAATTGTTCAGTAAACACACAAGCAGGCATTGCAATCCACCCACGCACAATATATTTTTCCAGTGCATGACTAAGTCAAGTTTCCCGCCAAGATGCTGTGATCCTGTCATGTGATTACATTATCTATAAAAAGCAAACATGAGTTTGCCTCTTTCTCTTTTTTCTTTCTTCTTCCTGCGAAGATGTGACCTTTAAGAATTATCGTCTCGACCATGCGGTCAGACGTTAAATAATATTTCACACATTCACGTATGTACAAACTCTTACAAACTTTTCTCAATCACACCACCACTCACATGCTGAAAATTCCCCATACTCACATAATCTTAGACAGCAAAACTGTTGAAAACATTTATTACCAGAAACTATCACAAACTTTCTTTCATTGAACTTTGGAACACAAATGATAGTTAAAGAGAGACAACTCTTATTTTACGCATGCCTTTCTTTCACATCCTTGTTTGTACATCTTGTTAAATACAAGTTTCATGTGTAATGATGTCTTTGGCTTATCTTTTATTCTTCACGTCAGTTTGGTTTCCTAATCTAAGTTAAATTAATGCGGTGAAGTCTGCCACAAATGCATTTAATTCAGAGGTTATCATTAATCACTGATCGAATATTATACAGTGAAATTTTCAAAACTGTTGATAACTGTGTCGAGCTACAGCTTTGATTTCCACCTGACAACATAGATAAATATTTAGCCTAATAACTTTTTGGAAATTGTAGAGAGCCATGATTACCAATGGGTAAAAGTCTAGAATTGGGAGCCATAAAACAGGGACCATAATTTGAATGTGCAAAAATGAAATTAGAAAATTATCTAGAACTTTTGAAGAATAAGGAGAACTTTTTTTTTTTTATTTAACTTTTAGAAAGAAAACAATTGCAGAACAAAGAGCTTGTGAAGATTGTTGCTGCAATATGACCTTGGTGTCCAAAATTTGTTTAGGGATGTCCTAAAACTAGCTTTAGGAAAAAAAATATCTTTCAGAAAATGCTCGTTTTTTGCAAACACAAAAATGAACATTTTGAAAATAATAATTTTGTTAATATTCTGAGTGGTTTATTTTAAGTGCCTACAGTAACTGGAAACAGACAATAGTTGACTGGTTCAGATTTTGTAGGGATTTTCACTGAATAAACAAAAACAAAAAAGCAGTGGTGATAATAAAATTGGAGGTCTAGAATTCATGAAAATAATTTTGTTGATTTAAATGAATCTTTAGTTCCTACTCAAACAATCAAGAATAGCTGGCTTCATCTAAAGCGTTTTCTCAGAGAAAAAGGAACCAACAAACATCCACACAAATGGGAATATATATATATATATATATATATATGAATATATATTTTGAAAAAGATTAAAAAATGTATTTGAAAACATTAGAAACAATAAACAAAATTTTGACTCATGAATTATGGCCCAGATTCTAAACTTTTACCCACCCATAAATCCATCTAAATACAAATTAGTGAGATGTCATAATAGATTGTTGATTTAGTTAAGATGGAACAATGTTTTGCAGCAATTTGAGATTTTTCTTGTTAAAAAGTTAATTTTAACACATTCAACATTATGGATAAAAAATAGTTTATAAAAATATAATATAATATTTATGTAATAATTTATATAGTGTTTTTTTTTTTTTAAATTTAGCATGAGCAAAACAAACAACATGGATTTGGACAAAAAGAAAATAATCTCAGAATGACGTAAAATCTGCAAAAGTTTTTCTTCCTTTAATATTCAGTTGTGCTTAGTTTAATTTGTAGTATATATAAAACTGTAAATAGAAAAAAAAAGGTAAATGTTGATAAGATAGTAAGTGTTACAAAAGCACTTTCCAGGGCCCCCAATCACCACCCCAGTTAGTGTGTTTACTGGTAGTACACATCAGCCCTGTGTAAAAAGTGTAATTCTCAATAAGTAATCCCCCATCTTGGTTCTGTGCCAGACTAGGTATTTTTTTTTCTTTGTAAATATCCACCCATATATATTATATTAAGGTAGTGAAAGGAATAAGTCAAAACTATGGATCTACCAAGCTTTAGGGAACAAAATCAAAATCCCTTACCCTGAGGTGATTTTTTTTCACCTTCATCAAAACGCCTGTCTCTTTTACATTTGTGAAGGTGAATGAAGAAGCCTTTTCCAGGTGGACATTCAAATACTTGTTTTCCTTCAAAATATCCATCAGTTCCAGAAATTATTTCTTCTTCCTGTAAAAGCAAAGAAAATAAATGGAAAAGTCGATACTAATATTTCCAGATTAACATTCAAAAAACAAAACAAAATTTTTATAGTTTGGTGGGGAGGGGGAGGTTAAAAATAAATTTTTTCATCAAACTTTGATCTATGTGCCTGCAAAATAAAAACAGTGTGTTAAAACAACTGTTTTTCTATTGACACCATTATTATTTGAACTACATTCAATGCTTGGTAATGTTTGTTGTTTTAAAAAGCAATGATTGTAATAAAACCAAAACATATCATGAAAGTGAATTTATACATTTTTTGTCCTTAAGAATTTGCAACAAAAATATTAAAACACTTTACTAGATTATTTATTTACAAGGATAATTTTATACTTACAGCATTTACAAAAACTAATGCAATTAAAACTAATGTAATGCAATATTTATCATTTACCAATTTATAAAGAAAGAAATATGAAAACAATTTTTTATTCATAAATTTATAAACATTTGCTAAATTATTAAAATATATGAACCAACTATAAGGAAATCCTTATTATTTGCCATTTTATAAAGTTTGAATCAATTGGCAATAGGTGATGTTTTGCCAACCATTCCAATAAACAATCTAATAAATAAATAGTGTTTATTATTTTTGTTGCCAATTCTCAAAAATAAATGTATAAATTAAAAAAAAAAAATTATACAAAAGCACTACATTAATTAGAACAAACATTAATTAAAAATATCCTTTCCTTATACTGAAGTGTAGATGTGGCACAAGGACGAAAGTATTGAGCACCCAGTGAGCATCAAACTCGCTACTCATTTGCAATTGTTCTAATGAGACAAGCTTGCTAACCATTACATGTTGAGGTGCCCTTATATTATTATTATGATCTGATTTCTCTAATGTGTGTGTGCATTTGTTAAAGTAACACAGCAAAAAAACTGCTCTTTTTTTTTTTTTTTTTGGTCGCACAATATGATTAAAATGTTCTAACTTGAAGTGAAGAGTATTTTTTAGTCTAATTAGGCCAACAATTTCAGTTTAATTTTAACTAATCTCACTACTTGAAGTTTTTGTCCCTTTGTCAGTTATTACAAAACTAAAGAATGTTTTTTGCAGAATACACTTTGAAAATTCCAAAACGTTTAAATATTTTAGCAATGAGGGTTGATTTACAATGTAAGCTTAATGCTAAACAAGACCTTTAGTTTGTGTCCATCAGGCTAGCTAAACTGAA